AAGCCAGGTACAGGCAGTAGTAATCAGTTCATTGCATGGTTCATTGTCCTATTGATCTAACTATGGAATTTTGTATTGAATTCCGTATTATAGCTGGAGTAATGCGAGCAACAAAATTGCTGCAACTTGCAACAAAATCTGATTTCAACGCATGTTAATTGAAAATGTTCACACATAAATTACAACGAGGCAACATGTGTCAACATTTCTACTTAATCAACATGCGTTGAAATCAGATTTTGTCTCCAGCTTATGGGTTAGTGGTAATCTGAATAAATTAGACTATCATGTAATTAACAAATGAACGGCCAACAACAAGGGCAAATAATGTTAGCCAATCAGCGCGTTTGTTTACATTTTGCGTTATTGACCAATCAGAATGCCTGAAATTCGAAACATGTAAACAAAAGGAGTGAGAAAATAAACCTTGTTCTACGCCCTCGGTGACATTCGATATTAAACTTTTTTCGCCAAAACTGACAAATTCTGATAAAGCATGCTTTCTTCTTTAATTTCCTCGGGGGGATTTTTAAAATTCGATCTAGAACGCGAAATATTTATGTTTGAATAACAGTGTTTCGACGCGCGTAAAATAGGAGACTCTCACTTGCACTATCTTTACACACACATAAAAAATTGGTAGATTTGGCAGTTTAAACTTATTTTCCCCACACCACAGCTGACATGTTTTTAAATATTACCTATCTGATCTCATCGATCTCATTTCACATCGGAAATGCGTCACAACGATCCAGGACTGACAGGTACAATATCGCATGACTCATTACTGTACATTAAAAGTACATATCCGGTTGGCAAAATGGCGATTGTCTGCAAGACCTTCGCGAAGGGCTTAATATTTTTGCTAATAAACTGTTCACGAGGGTTTCGTTCTGTTCGTCTTCTGGTTCGTCGTCAATCGTCATCGGCTGCCTCACTTCTTGGTCGCTTTCGTCCTCTTCAAAGCAAGTCGCCGGAGCAAACAGCGTTAGTATTTGCTGTCTTTCCAAGAGCTTCAACGTTGCTTTACAAACTGGGCTATCGCTGATGTTTGGCAGGATGCATTTGATGTGGAACGAAGGTCCACAACCACGGAAAACGTTCCAAGTGGATTAACCTTTTTGCAGGCAGGCAAATCGCAAATCGATGGAAATTTTAAAGGAAGATTTATATTTTATATTGACAGATCTTGATACATTTATAGTCAGTATGTCCTTGGAAATTGTTCCAAAATATGAGTGTGTACCAAAGTTAAAATATTACTCATAATCTCTAGAACATGTTTGAATGTTTTGAATCACTGCAGTTTAGAATTAGCAGTCCTTTAACTCTTTTAAAGACAACAGAACTGGCAGCCATTGCACCCCATAACTATTTAATGGTGTACAATACTAGTCAATGTAATTAATTACTACCTCCCCCAACCCAGAAGTAGGCAGTTTTTACTTCTCAGCACTGTCACTATCTGTACATATCTGTGTGTAAATATCTGGTTTTGTCTCGGTGACCCTGCTTTGCCCCACACTTTGGGATTTGAGCAGGCAGGGATTTATATTGTCTGGTATTGGTACATAGTTTACCATAATCACAGGATAATATTGAAAGATTTCCCTACCAATTCACTGCCTTAAAAGCATTATATTATTTGCTCTGTATGTGTGTGTGTTACTTTAAGTGTACTCTGGTTCCAGAGGCTCTTTGCGAGGCGAAAGAAACAAGATGCGAGAACGGAGAGCCTCTGGTCACATCAGGGCCGTATCACCAGGGGGCAGTAAAGCTTATATGTTGAAAAAAGTTCCAAATATCCAAAGAATAATTAATAATGACATTCTAAAAATTGTAAATATAGTTTTCTTTAGGAGGGCAGTTTCCCCCTCCTGCCGCCCCCTCCCCTGTGCTGTGTACAGCCCAGGGTCACTGTCCATTGCGAATCCCACTTCCACACTTGATTAGGTTCAGCATTTGAATTTCGCATGTGATTGCCCATTTGTAAAAATATGCCAAACTGGCTTGGGAAATAAACATTGCTGTAAGCTAATTATAGCCTATATTAAAATATTCTATTAAACTCAACCAAGAATGTATTACATGTCCTGCAAAACTGATTAATGTTGATATGTTTATCTCCTGAGAAATTTAATACCTTTTCACCTGCGGGAGTATTAATATTCATGCTTGGTTGAGTTTACTATAATAGCTTGGGGCTTTTTAATTGGGGCTTTTTAATTGGGGCTTCGGTGCCAAGTGGTTAGCGCACTTTGTCACCTCTGAGGCCGCAGGTTCAAGTCAGTGAGAACTTTCTCAATGCGACTCAAACCCAGTCCTCATGTGAAAAGAATAAACCGCAACGCTCTGCCGAATGTCACAGGTTTTCCCCGGGTACTCCAGTTTCCTCCCACATGGAAAGTTGACAGGGTGGGTTGGGTAAAAAGGGCTCACAGTAATTGGCATATATGCTGTTGTGGTGACCCGGCCCTATTTGGCATGCTAAATAGATAGATAGCTATAATTAGCTCACAGTAGTGTTTATTTCCCAAACAGGTTTGACATATTTTTACAAATGGCCAATCACATGCGAGATTCAAATTCTGAACCTATTCAAGTGTGGAAGTGGGATTTGCAATTGATGTGATCAGAGGCTTTCCATTCTCACCTCTTGTTTCTTTTACCTTGCAAAGAGCCTCTAGAACCAGGGTACACTTAAAAGTAACACACAGGCAGACCAAGTGCTGCAATTCAACTAAGGGCCTGTTTATATGCAGGAAGCCGGGCTGGCCTGCTTAGCGAGATAGGCAGCCGGGATGAATTTCTCTTGTGTTTATATGAGAAAATTTCATCCCGCTTGCTGGTTTTGACAGTTGTTCAAAATAGCTTGCGGCGGTATCTTTCATCCCAGCAACCGGGCTAGTCCGCTTGTGAGTGTTTATATGGAGAAATTTCCACCCCGGTAAGCGAGATCTCACCTCTTGTCAAGTGAGATCTCAGCAACCTGGCCAGCCCACTTGTCCAATAAATGCACAGCTTACCGGGCTGTCTCACTTAGCGGGCCAGCCCGGCTTCCATATAAACAGGACCTAAGTACCAGTCAATATAAGTCCCCGCTTGCTTGAATCTAGAAAGTGTGGGGTTCATGGGGCAAAGCAGGGCCACTGAGACAAAGCCAGACATTTATACAATCCAGCAATTTTGATTATGCAGTGCTGGGAAATAAAAACTGCCTACTTCTGGGTTGGGGGAGGTGGTAATTTACATTGACTGGTATTGTACACTGAATAGTTATGGGGTGCCATGGCTGCCAGTTCTGTTGTCTTTAAAACTACTGCTAATTCTAAACTGCAGTGATTCAAAACATTGTCCAAACTACATGTTCTGGAGATTATGAGTAATATTTTAACTTTGGCACACACTCATATTTTGGAACAACTCCAAGGACGCTGACTATAAATGTATCAAGATCTGTAAATATAAAATATAAATCGTACCTGCGATTTGCCTGCCTGCGAAAAGGTTAATCACTTGAAACGTTTTCCGTGGTTGTGGACCTTCGTTCCACATCGAATGCATCCTGCCCAACATCAGCGATTGCCCAGTTTGTGAAGCAACAACGTTGGCAAATGTTGAAGCTCTTGGAAGGTCTTCGAAAGACAGCAAATATTAACGCTGATTGCCCCGGCGACTTGCTTTGAAAAGGACGAAAGCGACCAAGAAAGTGAGGCAGCCGATGACGATTGACGACGAACTAGAAGACGAACAGAACGAAACCCTCGTGAACAGTTTGTTAGCAAAAATATTAAGCCCTTCGCGAAGGTCTGTCAGACAATCGCCATTTTGCCAACCGGATATGTACTTTTAATGTACAGTAATGAGTCATGCGATATTGTACCTGTCAGTCCTGGATCGTTGTGACGCATTTCCGATGCGAAATGAGATCGATGAGATCAGATGGGTAATATTTAAAAACATGTCAGCTGTGGTGTGGGGAAAATAAGTTTAAACTGCCAAATCTACCAATTTTTTATGTGTGTGTAAAGATAGTGCAAGTGAGAGTCTGCTATTTTACGCGCGTCGAAACACTGTTATTCAAACATAAATATTTCAAGTTCTAGATCGAATTTAAAAAATCCCCCCGAGGAAATTAAAGAAGAAAGCATGCTTTATCCGAATTTGTCAGTTTTGGCGAAAAAAGTTTAATATCGAATGTCACCGAGGG